AAACTTTTTTTTAATAGCAATACCGGTTTCGGAAATCTAAAATGGTTTCCTTCCTCAGCTGCTTTAACAGTTAGTTGCTCGAAGGTTTGCGAGCAGAAGAAAGAAAGACCATGGGAACGTTTAGCGTTGAGCTAAGGACGCTGGGAGGGGTAAGCTAGAAAGTGAGATAAATTAGAGTCTTGGTGGCCCTGCCTACTCGTAAAATACTAAATAACAGCAAGACAAACCGTTGTGCATCAGAAACACGATAATTTGGCAATAAAATAAATACTTTATTGACCAAGCTTGTTCGGTCAAGATAGCTGGATTCGTCACTTCCACATCTCCCATAATGCACCTTACTTGCCCCCCAAAATTTTGCATAACCTTTCAGGTTGTTTTTTATTTCTCTTGGATATTACAGCAGTCCTCAGACAAATTGAAAATAATGCTTATGCAAAATTTTGGGGGACAAATAAGGTGCATTATGGGAGAAGGGCAAGTGGCGTATATTGGCGTCGTTCTTTTTTTCATTGGCCCCGACTTCGTATCGGTAAACACAACGGTAGACTTGCTACAAGTCGACCTCTCATAAGTTCTTAACAGTGAGCGAAGGGAGCTTCAATGCATGATGTCGCGCAGCGACCGAGCGAAGAAGTCTCGTGGCATAACCAACTAGGAAAAAATAGAGGACTTTTAGAAAGTCTAACAAAATGCAAAAACAGGAATTTGGCCATATATATTCAGTCGTATTGACTTCACGCTTGGTTAGTAATGCATATTTGAAAGGAATAATGATGAAAATAAAAATAGTCATCACGCCTTAAAACATTCCGCTTTCGTTTTGACAGCCTGTTTCCCTTCGTCATTCCAGCCGAAGCTGCATGATACCTTATAAAGACTTGGTTTCTTCGAAATTTGCTGCCTGAGTCAGGAGTTCCAAACGGTAAGATGACTAATGCAATAAGCAGCCGTGTTTCTACACGCGGTCAAAAAAACCTTTAATTTGTATAAAAATGGCATGATGGTTCAGTTACATGGTAGGAATTGAATGATGCGGAAAGTTTCCTTGTCGGTTATTTAAAGCATGAAACTGTTCAAAAGAACGTCGAACGGAGGGTTTCGGAGCAAATGGTAAGCAATGATAGCCTTTTTGTGACCATTTTTACTGTTTCGGTCCATTATTCGAGCTGCCGAAGTAAGCTCTGGTTTTGGAACTTTCTGGAAGCAAAATGAAGTGAAAACACGCCTCGACCTGCGGCAATAACGTAGAGCAAATACCAAAGAACTATTGCGCAATTAGAAGTAACTTTTTGACGTTAAGTCTCTCTAGATCTTTGTAAAACGTTTCAAAAAGAAACCAAAAGCCATAAGCTTTATGTTCTGATCGTTCGTTTACCACCGAAACTTTTTAATCTTCATCTAGAGGCTCTACAGATAAAGCATGACGGACTGTTTTGCATAGTTATGTCCTACAAGTATTCGGCCTTAGTGTAGTTAAAATATTTCTAGTGTAAATTAAATTCTACTAAATTGGAAATGGAAACTGAATATAAAGTAGCCTGCAGAACACGTTTTTTAGGCGAGTGAAGATATGCGCGAGGCGAGCGCGGAGCGCGAGAAAGCGCTTTTACCAGCCGTGCGTGTTTTGCTCTCCACCCACGCTTTGTGTCAAAAAAAAAATAGCGTACTATTCGCGACAGTCTCTTCCACGCTCGCTGAATAAGAGACGGAGAAATGGAACCGCACTTGAGTGAGTTGGAAGTGGAAAGGACAGGGAAGGGATCGAGGGAGGGAAAAGAGAAGCGCGGCCGCACAAGGTGCGATACGTGAAAGGGAGAGACAAACAATTCATGATCACGGCTGCCAGCAGCCAAAGGATTCTTACTCCGACTGGGTAGAAATGAGATGCGGAACTCTTATTTATACTCGCGTTGCAAGGGACTGGCGCAAATAGCATACTATTCGCGACAGTCCCTTCCACGCTCGCTGAATAAGAGACGGAGAAATGGAACCGCGCCAAGAAGTTGAACGTTAGGTACGTCCTAAAGAACCCAGACACTGCCAAAACAAACTCAAACCCAGGTCCTAAAACTCAAAAAGAAAAAACCCAGCTCTCCAACACTAAAGGTGAAGGGGTGAAACAAAAGTACTCGTAAACTCAAAGTATAGTGAAACAACTAGACTGTTGATACTTGTTGAGAGCTAGGCAAGGAGGTATTTCAGGGAATACCAAAAGGACTGTGTGGTAAAACACGAATAGGCTGCCAACAAGAGACTATAAAGGGGACAGAGAGGGCATCCCCCATATACACCCTATTCCATAGGTAATTCGTCTCGAGTTACTTTTAACACAACAGATCTCGAGGGGGATTAGACAACAGCCAATCACATAGCGCGAATGTGTTCCGCATGGATGACCCACGCTGAGAGCCACGCGTCCTTCACGAAATGAAGCAGAACAAAATGGGGGAAGACGCGGAGAGCGATTTTGCTATTCCTTTTGTCGACGAAAACGACTACAGCGAGATTTCTGCGAAAGCTGTGTCAGCGAAACCGAAAGTAAAAAAGAATCGCCCTTCCTCTCTCGTATAGAGCTAACAGTAGAGCAGGGAAATCCTTAACACACTGAATATTCTCTCAGGATCATTTATAATTTACAGTTTGAAGAGAGCAATTTCGGGTTTGATGTTTATTTTTTTCAGTCTTTATAGCGATTATTCCTACCCACTTACTTTGTCAATTGGAGGCGAACTGTCCTAAAGCTGAATTTCAAGGGACCATATTCAAGCTCAGAAAGAGAAAGTTGCTTACTTACGTCCTCCATAAAACGCGAAATTAGGCATTTTCACGTCGTAGTCGTGCAAAAACGGGAAAGAAATTAACAAAAAAGTGTGTTGCACGTGCGAAGTTGTTGTTTTGCTAATTAAACCTATTGTTTTTTTGACGTTCTACTTGTCGTCCGCGTCGTTGGATCTTAAACTCCCTAAATTGTACAAACGACCGGTTTCAATAGACCGGCGAAATTTCTCATTTTATTAAGGCATTGAGGTTACGACAACTTCGAGTTAAACTGATTTCACGGGTTGTCAAAGAGTCCAGCGATTCCTTTTTCCCAGGTGAGCGCCGACTCATTTCGCTTCAATATTCAGGAATGCTCTCGATCTTTTTACGCTTTCATTGCCTCTCGCCCGACATGTTTTGCACGGCGTTTGGTCATGCGAAACCTCCACGAAACATCCACGTCTCGCGCGAGGTAACTTTATCCCGATTCTAAAAATAACTCGAGACGAATTACCTATGGAATAGGGTGTATATGGGGGATGCCCTCTCTGTCCCCTGTATAGTCTCTTGGCTGCCAACCCTTGAGTGGCAACAAGCAAATAAACTGGAGATAAAGGTCCAAGGTAAAAAGGAAACCTAAGGCGCAGAGAAGACTCGAGAAAAACCCACCCAAGGGATGGCAGCCTGAGCGTCAGCAATCCGGCTAGGGCATAAGATACCCTTTCAGGCTACCACGGAATCGCATGAAGAAAAATATAGGAAATGACGGCAGAAAAGGCGAGGAACGAATAGCACAGATAAACTAAAAGAATAGAAAAACAACTAGGAACACATGGATGCAAATACACTGGGACAAGGGAGTAAACCCGCAGAACAGGAGGCCGCGTGGCGAAACTCGCGTACCAGATTATAGAAAAATGCAACGTTATCATTCAAAATCTACAGGGGCCGAGGAAATAAGTGTAAAATAAAACACGCCGAACAGATTGACCAAATAAGGCACAAATGCAACAAAAGTGATGAGCCAACTTTACGGGAATCGAAGGAAGATTAAATTAGTGAGGGAAAGAACGTAGAACCCAAACTTAAAACCGAATAATAAAAAGCAAAAGCGTGCAAATTCGAGTGGAGCAGGGGAAAAAATCATTGCACAAACCGGAGCTTGTTGGGCAAAGCACGCATAACAAAAGCAAACTGAATAAAGCAAAGAAAACCAAAGGGGGAGCCGAAGGGAAAAGCACTGCACAAACCCGATGTTGGTGAGGCAAAACACGCAAAGCAAAAAATTACCGAATAAAGCAAAATAAACACAAGCATGCAACGAACTTGACGGGAGCCGAGGGAGTAGCACTGCACAAACCCGGTGTTTGTGAGGCAAAACACGCAAAACAAAGTTCTGACTAAAGCTAAGCGTAACAAAAGCGTGTAACTGACTTTACGGGAGCCGAAGGAAAAGTACTGCACAAACCCGATGTTTGTGAGGCAAAGCACGCAAAACAAAAATTACTGAATAAAGCAAAATTAAACACAAGCGTGCAACATTTTTACGGGATCCAAGGGAATAGCACTGCACAAAGCCGGTGTTTTTGAGGCAAAGCACGCAAAACGAAAATTAGTGTCTGACTCTGAATAGTTTGGATCAATTTAGGTTTCTGAAAAACTGCCCACCTACCCCTCCCCCTCCCCCAAGCTAACATTAACACTTACTTCTCACTGAGGGCAAAATGATGGCTTAGGGAAGGGGTAGGTGGGCAGTTTCCCAGAAAACTAAATTGATCCAAACTATAAGCTCTTGTTGTTCCATTGAAAACGATACCCATTTAAAGACTCTAATGGGCTGATCCGTTTTCATGAGACCAAAACGGCTAAAAAAACCATACCGTTTGTAGGACACACCTATATAGCTTACAAAGGGTATTACCCCCGCGTATGTTGTCACTAATTGCAGAGAAAATCTTTCCCCAAAGATTGAAGCATCAGACGTACATCAACTATGGCATCTTCAAAAGAATATACCGAGCAACAGCTAAACTATTACAGAATTTGTTACCCAACTACTGATATACTAGCAAATTTGGGTTTTGGGTATGCCCTGACATGCTTGTGTCAGAAGTAAATGTTTTTACTTCATAGACCGCGTTATCTACGTCACTGATAATTTTTCCCCCTCTGAACTAATTTGCTAATTGCAGGATTCATTTTCCTTAAAGGTTCCAAGCATCGGAGGTGCATCAAATATGGCCTCTTTAAACGAATATACCGATGAACAGCTGAACTATTACAGAATTTGCTATGTAACCACTGATATTCTAGCGGAGGGTCTGAGAGAGATATTTAAACAAGAATGGGACAAACTGTACAAATCAACAACAGGAGAATGGAAAGACGAGCTTCGTAATGGAATGGAGTTTTATAACGGAGAGTCTCCTCGAAATCAAAAAAGAAACGCTCATCTTTTGGCAACTATGAAAAACGGAAACAGAGTGGAATGGGATTGTACAATGCTTTTTTACTCCATCCTTTTCTCCGATTGCGTCGGGACAGGTCTTAACGCACTGGTCAGAAAAAATGTAAATGATCTACGAAAGTTCAGGAATGAAGCATTCGCTCACATGCCACAAGGTAGTCTCTCTGAGATAGATTTTCAGAATGCTATTAGCAAAGTTGATGTTGCGTTTCAAGCTCTTAGTCTTCCCACTGTAAAAATTCAAAACCTAAAATATCAGAAAACATTTCCAACAAAAGAAGTTGATAATCTGAAACAAGAAGTTCAAGAAAAAGAGAGTCAGCGCCAGGTCCTTGAAGATCAGCTCCAAAATAAAGCACCCTCATTCTGTGTTCTCCCTCCTAAACCTTCGCATGAAATCGGTGGTCGTGAAAGTGAAGTAGCAAAAATAGTCCAACAGCTGAGGGAACTAAATGAGTCCGGTAACAACAGGTTGAGTTATCTTTACATCTCAGGGAATCCTGGAAGCGGCAAATCACAGCTAGCTGGCCTTGTAGCTGAGAGATTCTTTGACGACCTCAAAGAAATGCCAGGTGGGTCTTCATTTGTAATGACATTAAATGCTGCAAGTCCAGATTCACTTCTGGAGTCGTATGCCTCATTTGCTCGCCACTTAAAGTGCCCAGACTATTCAATTGTGGAAACCCTCAGCTCAAAGGACTCGACTGTCGACGAAAAGATCACTAGTCTTAAGATGCTTGTCGCTGTAAAAATTACCTGTTACTCGTCGTGGCTATTGGTGGTTGACAATGTCACTACCGTGTCATCTGTGCATGTCCATTTACCACAGTTTAATTCAAAGGCTTGGGAAAGAGGCCATTTGCTCATTACGACGCAGGACACAGCGTCAATTCCCTCAAAAAGCTCTTTCGTTAATCACATTTCAGTAAGCCAAGGTATGGAGCCCGATGATGCCCGTTCATTATTGTCTAAGCTTTCTGGTATCCCAAATAGCGAGCTATTAGGAACAGTAGCACAAAGACTGGACTATCAACCTCTTGCTTTAGCAGGCGCTGCCGTCTTTGTTAAAGAGATTCGGCAGGACAAAGTATCTACGCATTTTGGGTGGGAGGAATACCTGAAAATCTTAGAAAAAGGAAAAAGAGAGAAAATGGAGGATATACTTGTCGACACCAATCCAATTTATCCAAATTCAATGACCAAAGCAATAACGTTAGCCGTCGAAACACTGATGAGATCCGACAAAGTTCAAAAACACCTTTTCACTTTTCTTGCCCTCTGCGCTCCAAGGCCATTAAACGTGGACATAGCAGTTAGTTACATCATGAACGCACATGAAGAGTTTGATGAAGCGGACAAAGAATTAATTCGCATGAGATTAAAAAGAAGCTCACTTCTGCTGTTCCAAGATGACGAGGGTGGCTCTTTTATTGGACTTCACCAGGTTGTGCATGATGCTATAAAAACTGTAGCAAAAGAGTCGGCAGAAAGCCAAACCGATGAGGTCGTCAGTGGGGTCATCACATCATTTAACGAATTTATCGTCGCAACTCCACCACAGGATAAGCAACTAAACACCAGACACATCGCTCCACATTTGAAAGCTTTAATTATGGTAACTGACGAAGTGTTTTTGCGAGATAATTTCTTTCAAGTTCATGATAAGGAGATTTCCGAAAAATGCGAAAACCTTGGAGATGTTTGTAAAATGCACTGTGAATTCGAAGAAGCAAAAACATATTTTCAATATTCACTCACTTTTAAGCTTCAAGAGCTCGGCCCGGAGCATGTTGATGTAGCAACAAGCTACAATAACTTAGCTTTGATTTACCAGGATTTAGGTGACTTTAAGCAAGCCAAGGAGTATCAGCAACGTGCTCTGGACATTCAACTGGACAAGCTCGGCCCGGATCATGTTAATGTTGCAAGAGACTACAATAACTTAGCTTTGATTTACAAGGATTTAGGTGACTTTAAGCAAGCCAAGGAGTATCAGCAACGTGCTCTGGACATTGAACTGGACAAGCTCGGCCCGGATCATGTTAATGTTGCAAGAGACTACAATAACTTAGCTTTGATTTACAAGGATTTAGGTGACCTTGAGCAAGCCAAGGAGTATCAGCAACGTGCTCTGGACATTGAACTGGACAAGCTCGGCCCGGATCATGTTAATGTTGCAAGAGACTACAATAACTTAGCTTTGATTTACCAGGATTTAGGTGACTTTGAGCAAGCCAAGGAGTATCAGCAACGTGCTCTGGACATTGAACTGGACAAGCTCGGCCCGGAACATGTTAATGTTGCAAGAAACTACAATAACTTAGCTTTGATTTACCAGGATTTAGGTGACTTTGAGCAAGCCAAGGAGTATCAGCAACGTGCTCTGGACATTGAACTGGACAAGCTCGGCCCGGAACATGTTAATGTTGCAAGAAACTACAATAACTTAGCTTCGATTTACAAGAATTTAGGTGACTTTGAGCAAGCCAAGGAGTATCAGCAACGTGCTCTGAACATTGAACTGGACAAGCGCGGCCCGGAACATGTTAATGTTGCAAGAAACTACAATAACTTAGCTTTGATTTACCAGGATTTAGGTGACTTTGAGCAAGCCAAGGAGTATCAGCAACGTGCTCTGGACATTGAACTGGACAAGCTCGGCCCGGAACATGTTAATTTTGCAAGAACCTACAATAACTTAGCTTCGATTTACAAGAATTTAGGTGACCTTGAGCAAGCCAAGGAGTATCAGCAACGTGCTCTGGACATTGAACTGGACAAGCTCGGCCCGGAACATGTTAATGTTGCAAGAAACTACAATAACTTAGCTTTGATTTACCAGGATTTAGGTGACTTTGAGCAAGCCAAGGAGTATCAGCAACGTGCTCTGGACATTGAACTGGACAAGCTCGGCCCGGAACATGTTAATGTTGCAACAAGGTATAATAACTTAGCTTCGATTTACCAGGATTTAGGTGACTTTGAGCAAGCCAAGGAGTATCATCAACGTGCTCTGGACATTGAACTGGACAAGCTCGGCCCGGAACATGTTAATGTTGCAAGAAACTACAATAACTTAGCTTCGATTTACAAGAATTTAGGTGACCTTGAGCAAGCCAAGGAGTATCAGCAACGTGCTCTGGACATTGAACTGGACAAGCTCGGCCCGGAACATGTTAATGTTGCAAGAAACTACAATAACTTAGCTTTGATTTACCAGGATTTAGGTGACCTTGAGCAAGCCAAGGAGTATCAGCAACGTGCTCTGGACATTGAACTGGACAAGCTCGGCCCGGAACATGTTAATGTTGCAAGAAACTACAATAACTTAGCTTCGATTTACAAGAATTTAGGTGACCTTGAGCAAGCCAAGGAGTATCAGCAACGTGCTCTGGACATTGAACTGGACAAGCTCGGCCCGGAACATGTTAATGTTGCAAGAAACTACAATAACTTAGCTTTGATTTACCAGGATTTAGGTGACTTTGAGCAAGCCAAGGAGTATCAGCAACGTGCTCTGGACATTGAACTGGACAAGCTCGGCCCGGAGCATGTTGATGTTGCAACAAGTTATAATAATTTAGTTTTGATTTACAAGGATTTAGGTGACTTTGAGCAAGCCAAGGAGTATCAGCAACGTGCTCTGGACATTGAACTGGACAAGCTCGGCCCGGAACATGTTAATGTTGCAACAAGTTATAATAACTTAGCTTTGATTTACAAGGGTTTAGGTGACTTTGAGCAAGCCAAGGAGTATCAGCAACGTGCTCTGGACATTGAACTGGACAAGCTCGGCCCGGAACATGTTAATGTTGCAAGAAACTACAATAACTTAGCTTCGATTTACAAGAATTTAGGTGACTTTGAGCAAGCCAAGGAGTATCAGCAACGTGCTCTGGACATTGAACTGGACAAGCTCGGCCCGGAACATGTTAATGTTGCAAGAAACTGCAATAACTTAGCTTTGATTTACCAGGATTTAGGTGACTTTGAGCAAGCCAAGGAGTATCAGCAACGTGCTCTGGACATTGAACTGGACAAGCTCGGCCCGGAACATGTTAATGTTGCAACAAGGTATAATAACTTAGCTTCGATTTACCAGGATTTAGGTGACTTTGAGCAAGCCAAGGAGTATCAGCAACGTGCTCTGGACATTGAACTGGACAAGCTCGGCCCGGAACATGTTAATGTTGCAACAAGTTATAATAACTTAGCTTCGATTTACCATGATTTAGGTGACTTTGAGCAAGCCAAGGAGTATCAGCAACGTGCTCTGGACATTCAACTGGACAAGCTCGGCCCGGAGCATGTTGATGTTGCAACAAGTTATAATAATTTAGCTTTGATTTACAAGGATTTAGGTGACCTTGAGGAAGCCAAGGAGTATCAGCAACGTGCTCTGGACATTGAACTGGACAACCTCGGCCCGGAGCATGTTAATGTTGCAACAAGTTATAATAACTTAGCTTCGATTTACAAGGATTTAGGTGACTTTGAGCAGGCCAAGGAGTATCAGCAACGTGCTCTGGACATTGAACTGGACAAGCTCGGCCCGGAGCATCTTAATGTTGCAAGAAACTACAATAACTTAGCTTTGATTTACCAGGATTTAGGTGACTTTGAGCAAGCCAAGGAGTATCAGCAACGTGCTCTGGCCATTAGAGCAGACAAGCACTGGCTCAACAAATCACCAAATAAGGTACACGAAGGACTGCTAACGGACGCAAAAAACTTATTTATGGAAATTATATTTCTTCTAGATAGATTTTACGCAGTCTTTGAGGCTTATCGCGTTGGTGTTGTGTTAAAATTTAAAAGGCTGAAGTTTTCTTTCTTTTTTTTTTTTTTTCACAGCAGCATAAGATGCGTCTTAAACCGCGAGGATCGATATCGTCTTTGCATTTTTTCTTTTGCAGTTCCAATATATGAAATTCTTATAATCTTTATAAATGATTTTAATTTGATAAACTCCATAACGTTTTACTTATATTAATCATGGAATCGATGTCTCGGACGTTGGTAAGACATCTCTTAATTTAGGTTTGACTGTAACAGTTTCTGTTTACACTCTATTTCTGCTTTCCGTATCTTCAAGTTTCTTCTAATGAAAAAAACCTGTTAGTCCTTGCAGATTACTCATGAAGCTGAAAGGCATTTTTCACAATCCAAGAAAGAAGATGATGACGATGAGGATGATGATAAAGGCAGTAGTAAGAACGGTAAAGCAAAAATCATTGTTAAGTTACAAATGTCTCCTCCTGCTAACTTTTAACGGTTTTAATCAAGGGCGCATTTCTTTTAGAAATAATCCGATAACTAAAGGTTTAATCGTTGCACAATCTTACAGTCTTTGGACTTGACGCGACAAAGGGAACGTGAGTAATAACCCAGAGACGGATTCTTCAGCGTTCCAAAAATATTTGTGTAAAACGCCTGCAATAACGTAGAAAGCTCGACAGGTGTAATTTTTTTGGACCCATGGCCAAACAAACGCATTAATTGTGAATGTATAAATGCGGATTTAGATATAATCTATCACCAATCTATTGGGAGTGTGTTTTTAGTTTTAGTAAAGAAAGGCAAAATCCGCGTTTGGATGATTGTCTCAAAGAAAAGTCGTGTAGGTCAAAAGTCAGCCACATCCAAAAAGAAATTTTCAGGCAAACACAATTTCCGATTTGGGGCTGCATATCAGTCGGACAAACTACAAATGGAGTTTAACACCGCGATTTATTAAAGCCATTTTCAATTTTGCTAACCTCAAGATTCAAACATTGTTTGCCTCTTATGGTGTCAAGGAGGCTTTCTGCCCAGGCAAACCCAGTACCAAATATCTACTTTAAATAAACGAGTTCAAAGCGAATTAGGGGTTCCACTGATCCCAGGTACAATACATTAGGTGCGGTTACACTACACGTTTCCCCCAAAGTTCCCCGATTAGGGAAATAGCTTGGGTTGGGGTCACACTGGGTAATTGATCACTGTCATGGTTGCGGTTACACAGTGATGAATTGCCCAATGGGAAAAAAAAAACGTGAACCCAGTTTTGAGGTAAACGTTGTTGTAAACATTGAAGGCTTACATAATCGTATTAATAACACCCGCTCCACATTAATTAAACTTAGAAAGAGAGATTCAGTGTTAAATTTTGAGACTAAAAAGGACGACGTTAACTTCATTTTTTTTTAAAGAAAGACAAATTCTCGTTCAGAAATCAAAAGTACGGGTTTACAAAAATGTTTGCAGCGACTTCATAAGGAAATAATTCTTGAACACATGTAAAGAAAACTTACGAGTGTTTTGAGGAACTTTTAAATTTATCTAAAAGTGTAAAATACAGAAAAACATACACAGCAGTGTTCAAAATCCTGCTGAGGTTTCGCAGTCCAGTTTGGCGCTGGATTTGGCGCCAGGACGGACTCAGCACGTAAACAACATGTGATTTCTACTTTTTGGTACGTTTCAATCTCTCGTGATTGGTTGAGCCGCCTTAGGTTCTTATTTACCAGAAGAACGTATTTCGGGAACTGTCATGGGTAATTCTTTTGTTTGGATTGATGTATCCAAGGAAATTTACCCGAGGCACTGAATTTCACCTTGGGAAAAACGGTCACACAAAAAGCCGCTTCCCCGTGGGCAACAGCCATTTGCCTGTGGGTAAAATGAGTAATTTGGCCGCACCTATTTTAGGTCGCTGAAAAAGGATATGTTATGATCAACGTTTGATTTTCATCGTATCTTGTGCATTGTAAGCTTAATTACTCTTTTCTTTCACAGACAAAAGAGGTAAGAGAGACAAACACAATGATGAACAAAAAAAACAGCAGATTACTAAGAAAGGTTCAGATGCTGATAGTGGGCATGATGTGTCATCTGGGGGAGATGGTTACCTGGATTCACGAGAAGAGGATCACAGATCTGACAGCTCTTCATCTTTGGATGGTGAGATATTTTGATCCTTTGATCCCCAATATCTGTCTTTGTCTGCTGCTGTTGCTGTGATCTAGCCTGTTTTTAGCCACCCCTCCCCTAAAACATTATGGAGCTTAAGCAAAGACGTTTTTGAGCAACGCACGTCAACTGGAAGTGAGGCCTTCAATATGCATTGATGCTTATAACAAATTTGTATTGCTAATTAAATTTCTTTACTCTGATAGAGACGATATGCCCGAAAATTTGGGCACAACCACTGCCCATGAACGGCAAAAAGTTCACTTCCGGTTGATGTGCGTCGCTCTAAAACGCCTTTGCTTAAGTTCCCTAATTTGTTTAAAGGGAGTGGTTAGCTATACACAGGCTACTGTGCCCCAGTTGCATTATCTTGCCTGTCGTTTTTTTCTTCCTCTACTGTGCTTCTTCAGTTCTCTTTTGCGTTCTCTTCTTTTCTTCCCGTTGGCTTTTTTATCCCCGCGTCACCATCATGTGTAATGCATCAGTCAATTCCACTTGCGCCCTGCCTCTCCCCCGGGCTACTGCGGGCCCTTTGCCCGCCTTGTCAGTCCCCGAGGGAGGGGCATTTGCAAATTTTACACTGCCCGGGCGTCGGGCATTTGCCAACCTCAGGGCAATTCCCGAGCTTCTGACACGCACGCGGTTTCCTATCAGAATATAACTACACAGAAGGTTTTACTGGCGCAGGTGGAATTGACTGATGCATAAATAGCTAAGTTACATTAGCCAAACGAGAAGCGGGAAATATTAAAGTCAAGTAACATCTGCTATAAAGGATACTACCTTATAATGGACCTCTAATTATTTACTGCAGCTGCTCCAAAGACATGGAACGTCTTACCGGACTACATTAGGAAAGGGAAGAATTTCCATATGTCTTTTTGCTACTTTATAGAAGCGTACAGCGACTTGGTTGAGTTATCAGAGGTTCTTTCACTTTCAACTTTTATTTCCTTTTTTTCTTTATCTTTTGCTCGTTTTTAGTAATGCTAAATTATTGATGTAGCAATTGAAAGTGTCAATAATCTCAGTTATTAGAGCCGGTAGTATAATATAGACTATGTAAGTCTCATTTTTGTGTATGCACATTTGATCAAATCACTATGTTAAAATGCGCTGTAGAAGTATTAATTATTATTATTATTATTATTATTACTTGTGTAATGTGATCATCATCATTATTTATCATCATCATCATCATCATCATCATCATCATCATCATCATCATCATCATCATCATCATCCTCATCATCCTCATCAGTATTACCATAATCATTTGATAAGGATCACGGTAATACTAAAGGGTATGAGCCAAAATGTACGTTTCTGAGGAAAAACCCAATTTTCTAAATTGGGTCACTTGACACTGACCGTGCCCTGTTGATGTCACAGCCAGAATTGGCATCAAACTGTCCAAATTTTGTCACATATAAGTGCGCGCATTTTTTAAAATTACAGATTGAACACTTTTCCCTAGCACCTGCTTCAAAATTAAAGACACAATAATAAACTCCCTTAAACCAACATTATAAAGACAATTATGATCTCTTGCTTAAACCTATTCTCTTTCTTTTCTTTCTTTAAATCCTTAAAGTTGAAAATATAAATAAGGCAAGTGCTTCGCTTGCCCCTTAATAGGTCTTTACGCCCTCAGCGGTGCTAAGCGCGTTATGAGATACAAGGGAAACAAATGTTGGGTAGTTTTGGCTTCTATTTGATGCCTTTCTTGTTTTCTTGTGAAGGTGCAGAGAAGAGAAAGAAGAAGTCGGGAAGTGGCTGTCGACTTTGTAGATGTCAATAATATATATTCACATTCATTTTATTTTTGTAATTAGGAAAATTAGAGTTTTGGTATCCTTTTACTGTATGAATTTTTGCTCAAGAGTCCTCTCTTGTATAGGAGCAGAGGGCCATCAAAGGGAATCTTTATCTTTCGCTGAGATAGTCAGGCAGAGCTTAGATCTGCGTGGATATCATTTCTGGGTTCAAAGATAACCAACCAAAGACTTGCTTTCTATCATTTAGTAACAATATTTTTAAGGTAGCACATGCAAAATCCAGTTTGTAGTAATTATCGGGAAATGATAAACAAACAGAAAAAGATTTCCCTTCCACGTTGACATTGCTGGATACGTCAAATTGTCAAACCTTTCCTGTGAATTGCCAAACTGGATTTTTAACAGCACGTAAATGATGGAAAAGGATAATGTTTCAATGTAAATAATGCATGGGTTGATTTAGGGGTGGTCTCAGGATTTTCCGCCCTCCTTTTTTTCTGTGAAATTTTGCAATTTTTGCTTGAAGAATTCTCAATAATATATAGCTTGCAAGTGTCCAGCAGATCCCCCCCACTTTCTGAATTTTCTAGACCCCCCCTTTAAATGGCTTTCAGTTTTTGTTAGTATGATGTTGAAGTTGTTCATGTAAAACTCTATTTGCTTAATAGATTTATCGACAATTTCTTATTGTAAACTTAAGACCACACCATTTTCAACATGAAGCCTTACAGGTCCGCAAGGGACTTCCCACTATAATGTTGTGAAGAATTTTCTGGGTTGTTATGAAGATTTTTGTCATGTGGTATTTACTTAGCTCATTTTATGTTTGCACTTGAAGATTCACTCGTCCCTAGCAAGAGTCTCGTTATAATTAGGTTTGTATTTCAAGGTTAATCCGTTATTGTATAGACAGGTTTTTGAATTTTATTACCTTAATATAAGGGGTTTTTGTACATAATATTGTCATTCA